TGGTGTCCCATAAGATAGCCTTAGAGTCCCTATGCAGTGTACTTCTCATGTACGTCGGGTAATCAGTCTGCTGTTGCTACTGAAGCAGAACACTACTGATCTGCCCAGTCTTCTTAAATACTGTTATTGACGTTGTTCTTGGCAATGCTGTTCCTGTTCCTTCTTCCTGTTTAAAGTGCCTTTACTTCCTGTCTCGTTAGCTTTCACTCTCAGCGTTGGTGTTCCAGCACCTGTTATTACAGATTTTATTACCGGCGTTACGGCGATTTTAACTCGGATTACGGCTGTTGTTTTGTTATGGTCGCTGTTGTTCATGGTAATATTTGTTCTTGTAGATCCAATTCCGTTAATCAAGAGCCCTTCGCTGGCACCTAGGCGCCCTCCTTGATTAGAGAGGAGAGTTGGTAAATTGGTATTTAAGAAAATTAATCAGGGAAGTTGTGGTGTGGCGGATGTGTTTCAGGCTTATGTGACGGTACCTTAGTACAATCCTGGGTGGTTACTGTCTACCTACCTGCTTGCCTACCTATCTACCAGCCTATCTACCAACTTTCCTACATACCTACCTGCCTGCCTACACAGGAAGACAATGTGGGTACCTACTTTCTATTACCCGTTACCTTGTTGTTCTCTCTATCCCACCCCTCTCCATGTACCTAACCACTTCCCCTCTATCCTCTCTCCTACAACGACTTCCCCCTACCACCCCTCCCCCACCCAAAATCTTGAGGAATCACGGATATTGCAACTTCCCGGTGACCACGCCTGTGTTGCACACGTTGCAAGACTATCCTCCCCCCTCTCCCAATAAGGCTCAGAATCAGCAGGTGCAACACGGGCCTACCGTCCATAAGGCGGGTGTGGCTTGGCTGGCTTATGCCCCGAATTCTGGTGATCTCAGGGCGTTGATGATCCCAGAGATGCTGTCGTAAATATTGATAGAATTAAGGTCATGGTTGAAGGAGGGAGGGGAAAGAGGGAGGGCATTGGCTTGAAGGCAGGAAAACGACAAGAGTAAAGAAAAAGTTAAATTTTCACCCCATTTTCTGGGTTTTAGTCTAGACTGATGGATGTGTGTGTGCTCATCTATATGTGGTTGCAGGGGTTGAGTCACCGCTCCTGGCACCGCCACTTCACTGGTCGCCAATAGGTTCTCTCTCTCCCTGCTCCACGAGCTTCATCGTACCTCTTTTTAAAGCTACGTATGGATCTTGCCTCCACTACATCACTTCCCAGACTATTCAACTTCCTGACAACTCTGTGACTGAAGAAATACTTCCTAACATCCCTGTGATTCATCCGAGTCTTCAGCTTTCAACTTCCTTGATGCTGTGTCCCATCTCTGGAACATCCTGTCTGTCCACCTTGTCAATTCCTCTCATTATTTTGTATGTCCTCCCCTATCCCACCTGTCCTTAGTGTCGTCAGATTGATATCCCTTAACTACTCCTGGTAGGACATTCCTCAGCTCCGGGACTAGTCTTATTGCAAACCTTTGCGCTTTAATTTCATGACGTGTTAGACCAGTTGTGGGTTCCAAACTGGTGCTGCATACTCCAATATGGGCCTGATGTTCACTATGTACAGTATCATGAATGATTCCTTAGTTGTTGAAACGCTATTCTTAAGATCTGCCAAACACGCATTTGCTGCAGCAGGTATTTGCCTGATGTGCACCTCAGGATGTGAGTGTTGGTGGAGGCGCGTGTTGGTGGAGGCGCGTGTCACACTGACTCACACCATCACTGTTCTCCCTTCCTCTCTCCCTACACCAACAGGACTAACAAAATAACAGAGAATCTCATAGACAAAACAGACAGCAGGAAGAACGGTAAGATAGCAGGGCAACATTTTTTCCGACATTTTTTTGGGGGTTCTGTGAGTTTTGTCAGGACCAGTGAAGCATGGAGGCCCTCCATCACCCCTCCACTCCTCCCTCCATCTCCCTCCATCACCCTCCTCCTCCAATCACACCATCTAAACTCTTATACAATGCAAGATAACCATTCCTTCACATTAAATCTCTCCTATTCCACCTTTATACCTATTTCAAAGGCTACGTAAATGCTTAAAAAGGTGCAGCGGACCATAAAAAAGGCTCGTGCGTCTGGTAGAGTTGTACTTAGGAAAGGTTTTGGAACGTTAGTATCCGCACGCATGTATCTTGCGTTCGTGTCAGTACACGAACAACTTCAAACCACCATCGTAGCTGCATCATGACGCATGAACTGTCGCGTTATGGGGAAGTATAAAGACAGGTTGTAGAGGAAGTTTGAGGCAGAGTTTCGATCTGAGCCGAGCGTTATCATGGCTTGATAAAACTGCAATAGAGCCGAAATGTTGTCCCCTAGTGAAGGTTGTACCACTCTTTGTGAAGGTTGTACCACCCCTAGTGAAGGTTGAACCACCCCTAGTGAAGGTTGTACCACCCCTAGTGAAGGTTGTACCACCCCTAGTGAAGGTTGTACCACCCCTAGTGAAGGTTGTACCACCCCTAGTGAAGGTTGTACCACCCCCAGTGAAGGTTGTACCACCCCTAGTGAAGGTTGTACCACCCCTAGTGAAGGTTGTACCACCCCTTGTGTCAAGAGACACGTGCCGTGGGCACTGAGGCGTACAGAGGGTGCGTACAAGGGGTGGGCAGCACCCCGGAACACTCGATATTGCTGCAACACCACCACCTGGTGTACTCCAGAGTGGTCAGTCGACGTCCTCCTACTCAGCCCTGTCTCTAGCTTGGGCTCCCAGCCCAAATCAATGACCCATTGGCACTAGGTTAGGTTAGGTAAGGCTTACTGATGCGGGTCTTAGATGGAGCTTTTGGTCATCTGACCGAGGCCTTCCGCTGGCTCGCATCCCTAGAAAGCTACGGTCATAACCATTACCCTAAGTACGTTTACTTAGGTACGGGTCGACCTAAGTACAATCATACATAGTAACACGTGCAATCGTGAAGAAGCGATACGAGAATACAGAACTACGGGGGGAGTCGAGTGATAGCTCTAGGCCTTTCATGTTGCAATCAACATATCAGGAGCTTTCAATGTTGCAGAAATGAGTAAGAAGTCCAGGTAGATCAGCTCGGGAATGTTCCCCCAAGCTGATACGCAACATTTCTTGTACATAAACTGCGGCTAGCCGGGGATCGAACCCGCGCTATTTGACTTGCTTCCCACGAGGTGGGATAAAACACGGGTTCGACCCCCGGCTAGCCGCATTTTAATTGCGTAAAAAAACTTCGTGGATACATTAAATTATCTAGGATAGCGATATTGTCCTTGTACCTCGTGGCCTGGTAGGTAACGCTGTCGCCCCCACACAGTGTCCGTGGTTCGATCTCCGGCAAGGGTGGAAACATTGGGCGTGTTTCCCTACACCTGGTGTCTCGTTAGTCTAGTAAGCAAGTAGGTACCTGGGTTTAAGTCGACTGGTGTGGGTCGCATCCTGGGGGGACAAGACTGAGGACCCCAATCAAAATAAGACAGTCCTCGCTGACGCACCGAGTTATCCTAGGTAGCTAACCCTCCGTGGTTAAAAATCCCAACAAAATGTTATCTCTGTTGTTGCAACTGTTTCTCACCCCAGTGTTCCTGGTGGTTGTAATTAGGCAACGGCTTCCGCGTTGACTGTTGAAGCTGTTGCTACTGCCGCTACTGTTGTCGCTACTACTGCTGTTCTGCTGCTGTTACTGATGCTGTTTTTGTCACTGCTGTCGCTATTGTCGATTCTGCTGTTGATGCTGCAGTTTCTTACTACAACAGGAACTGTTGCTATCTCTACTGCTGTTGCTGTTTTATAAATACGTCTTAGTGTTAAAACAGACATATTTATTAGAAAACTTTTCGGTCGTGGGACCTTGATTATAAGTGATCAAGGTGCCAGGACCGAAACGTTTTGTAATATATGTGTGCTATGGTTTACCTGTCTTTGTAAACCAATGTTAATACCACTGTTGTCACTGCTGTTGCTGTCGTTGCTGCTGTTGCTGTGCAAGCCTCACACGCCCCGACACTCGAGATAAACCCAGTATCAACAGCATCATAATTAAACCAATTACACAGCGGGCCAGCCACCAACTTAAACCCAGCGTCTCTAACCTGTTCGTCCCAGGAACAGCTGACGCTAACAGCGAGTTTAAAACCGCAGGTAAAATCCTTCTCCCTCCCTCACCCCCCTTACCTTCTCTCAAATCTCTCCCTCACCCTCCATTCTACCTCCCTGGCTTCTTCCTTCACTCCCTGCCTAGTAACTTTAGGTACAGGTACACAAATACAGTTACACATTATAAATGAATCTAGTTTGTATAATCCTAAACTAAACTTCAGAAAAAATAGTTTTGGGTTTGAATATTGGTTTAGGATTATACGTATTTGATAAATTTATTTATAAAGTTTGTTACAGGAGTGTAACATCCTCACTCATCCTTCAGAGTGCAGGCACTGTACTTCCCACCTCCAGGAGTGTAACATCCTCACCCATCCTTCAGAGTGCAGGCACTGTACTTCCCACCTCCAGGAGTGTAACATCCTCACCCATCCTTCAGAGTGCAGGCACTGTACTTCCCACCTCCAGGAGTGTAACATCCTCACCCATCCTTCAGAGTTCAGGCACTGTACTTCCCACCTCCAGGAGTGTAACATCCTCACCCATCCTTCAGAGTACAGCCACTGTACTTTCCCCTCCCTACCTCTCCCCCCTCCCCAACATAACATATGGTGGGTACCATTCCCATTACTGGTTATGGGACAACTGCTGGTTGACTAAGGCTGTCCCATAACCATCTCTCCCGCCCACCCTCACTAAACCACTGCTACAGTCACCACCATTACCACGACTACTAACACGCTACTACTACTACTACTACCACCACCACTACTGTTACAGGAGCCAAGAACTATGTAAACAAAAGCGATTTCCTTCACTTCCAATAACCTGTGTACAGTATACAACAAAATGCAAACAATATAATGTTTAAAGTGTTATAGGCAGGCATGTTATACCTCCTACGAGTGGACAGCAACAGTCTGGTTGATCACACAGCTCCAGGAACCACTGAAACAACAGTGGTCTAGTTTGACGACCCCTGCAACAACTTTTCAATGAACACGTTGAGTCAGTTGCACTATAAACACACATCAGTTCTCTTTGCAATGTCAAGGCTACCAGGTAGTGGGTGCCAGTGGATGCCTGTGGGTGGCTAGCAGTCGCAGTGACACGAGCCACTTCACTGCATAACAGTGATCAGCAGGGAGTATAACAGTCACCCAAATTGCTACACACACACACACACATATACCTACGTTGCTGCCATCTACCCTCTCGTTATGTAAACTTTGGTACACTCACGTACCGCCAGATGGTGTTCACACAGATTTTTGCGAAATGCAATGGACAATTTCGACTGTGGAATGACTGTTAAATGGGGTTAACATGTGTACTAGGAAGATATGTGAAACAGGTCTTCCTATTTCTAGCTTCACAGGTCTTCCTATTTCTAGCTTCACAGGTCTTCCTATTTCTAGCTTCACAGGTCTTTCTATTTCTAGCTTCACAGGTCTTCCTATTTCTAGCTTCACAGGTCTTTCTATTTCTAGCTTCACAGGTCTTCCTATTTCTAGCTTCATAGGTCTTCCTATTTCTAGCTTCATAGGTCTTCCTATTTCTAGCTTCACAGGTCTTCCTATTTCTAGCTTCATAGGTCTTCCTATTTCTAGCTTCACAGGTCTTCCTATTTCTAGCTTCATAGGTCTTCCTATTTCTAGCTTCACAGGTCTTCCTATTTCTAGCTTCATAGGTCTTCCTATTTCTAGCTTCATAGGTCTTCCTATTTCTAGCTTCACAGGTCTTCCTATTTCTAGCTTCACAGGTCTTCCTATTTCTAGCTTCACAGGTCTTCCTATTTCTAGCTTCATAGGTCTTCCTATTTCTAGCTTCACAGATCTTCCTATTTCTAGCTTCATCGGTCTTCCTATTTCTAGCTTCACAGGTCTTCCTATTTCTAGCTTCACAGGTCTTACTATTTCTAGCTACACAGGTCTTCCTATTTCTAGCTTCACAGGTCTTCCTATTTCTAGCTTCATAGGTCTTCCTATTTCTAGCTTCACAGGTCTTCCTATTTCTAGCTTCATAGGTCTTCCTATTTCTAGCTTCACAGGTCTTCCTATTTCTAGCTTCACAGGTCTTCCTATTTCTAGCTTCACAGGTCTTCCTATTTCTAGCTTCATAGGTCTTCCTATTTCTAGCTTCACAGGTCTTCCTATTTCTAGCTTCACAGGTCTTCCTATTTCTAGCTTCACAGGTCTTCCTATTTCTAGCTTCACAGGTCTTCCTATTTCTAGCTTCACAGGTCTTCCTATTTCTAGCTTCACAGGTCTTCCTATTTCTAGCTTCACAGGTCTTCCTATTTCTAGCTTCACAGGTCTTCCTATTTCTAGCTTCATAGGTCTTCCTATTTCTAGCTTCACAGGTCTTCCTATTTCTAGCTTCACAGGTCTTCCTATTTCTAGCTTCATAGGTCTTCCTATTTCTAGCTTCACAGGTCTTCCTATTTCTAGCTTCACAGGTCTTCCTGTTTCTAGCTTCACAGGTCTTCCTATTTCTAGCTTCACAGGTCTTCCTATTTCTAGCTTCATAGGTCTTCCTATTTCTAGCTTCACAGGTCTTCCTATTTCTAGCTTCACAGGTCTTCCTATTTCTAGCTTCATAGGTCTTCCTATTTCTAGCTTCACAGGTCTTCCTATTTCTAGCTTCACAGGTCTTCCTGTTTCTAGCTTCATAGGTCTTCCTATTTCTAGCTTCACCGGTCTTCCTATTTCTAGCTTCACAGGTCTTCCTATTTCTAGCTTCATAGGTCTTCCTATTTCTAGCTTCACAGGTCTTCCTATTTCTAGCTTCACAGGTCTTCCTATTTCTAGCTTCACAGGTCTTCCTATTTCTAGCTTCACAGGTCTTCCTATTTCTAGCTTCATAATTCTTCCTATTTCTAGCTTCACAGGTCTTCCTATTTCTAGCTTCATAGGTCTTCCTATTTCTAGCTTCACAGGTCTTCCTATTTCTAGCTTCACAGGTCTTCCTATTTCTAGCTTCACAGGTCTTCCTATTTCTAGCTTCACAGGTCTTCCTATTTCTAGCTTCACAGGTCTTCCTATTTCTAGCTTCACAGGTCTTCCTATTTCTAGCTTCATAGGTCTTCCTATTTCTAGCTTCACAGGTCTTCCTATTTCTAGCTTCACAGGTCTTCCTATTTCTAGCTTCATAGGTCTTCCTATTTCTAGCTTCACAGGTCTTCCTGTTTCTAGCTTCACAGGTCTTACTATTTCTAGCTTCACAGGTCTTCCTATTTCTAGCTTCATAGGTCTTCCTATTTCTAGCTTCACAGGTCTTCCTATTTCTAGCTTCACAGGTCTTCCTATTTCTAGCTTCATAGGTCTTCCTATTTCTAGCTTCACAGGTCTTCCTATTTCTAGCTTCACAGGTCTTCCTGTTTCTAGCTTCATAGGTCTTCCTATTTCTAGCTTCACCGGTCTTCCTATTTCTAGCTTCACAGGTCTTCCTATTTCTAGCTTCATAGGTCTTCCTATTTCTAGCTTCATAGGTCTTCCTATTTCTAGCTTCACAGGTCTTCCTATTTCTAGCTTCATAGGTCTTCCTATTTCTAGCTTCATAGGTCTTCCTATTTCTAGCTTCATAGGTCTTCCTATTTCTAGCTTCATAGGTCTTCCTATTTCTAGCTTCATAGGTCTTCCTATTTCTAGCTTCACAAGTCTTCCTGTTTCTAGCTTCACAGGTCTTCCTATTTCTAGCTTCATAGGTCTTCCTATTTCTAGCTTCACAGGTCTTCCTATTTCTAGCTTCACAGGTCTTCCTATTTCTAGCTTCACAGGTCTTCCTATTTCTAGCTTCACAGGTCTTCCTATTTCTAGCTTCACAGGTCTTCCTATTTCTAGCTTCACAGGTCTTCCTATTTCTAGCTTCACAGGTCTTCCTATTTCTAGCTTCACCGGTCTTCCTATTTCTAGCTTCATAGGTCTTCCTATTTCTAGCTTCACAGGTCTTCCTATTTCTAGCTTCACCGGTCTTCCTATTTCTAGCTTCATAGGTCTTCCTATTTCTAGCTTCACAGGTCTTCCTATTTCTAGCTTCACAGGTCTTCCTATTTCTAGCTTCATAGGTCTTCCTGTTTCTAGCAGATCATGAAGAGTGGATGTAAACAAAAGCTTACAAGTGTAAAGCTTAAACACTTGTTTAAGCTTTACAGTTACCAGACAGTGACTATAGTGACTGTCAGCGATGCTTACAGCTACAAGACAATTATAGTAACTGTCAGCGAGGGTTACAGTTACTAGACAGTATAGTGACTGTCAGCGATGCTTACAGTTAATGAACAGTGACTGTAGTGACTGTCAGCAGTGACTGTAGTGACTGTCAGCAGTGACTGTAGTGACTGTCATCACTGCTCAGAGATTAACTGTGTAGGTGAAAGGGTTGTTAATTCCGGAGTGTATAGTCGAGAATAGTCACTGTAGATGTAGCAAGTGATACTGTAGACGTAGAAAGCGTCACTGTAGACGTAACAACTACTATGAAGGTAATATTATCGCTGGGGAAGAACTTAGCAAGTACTTAGGTACTACTTCCCCCGGAAGTCTGGTAGTACCGGGTAGTGCATCCGGATTGTAAACACAAAAGAGGAGATAATGCACTCGCAGTGTGACTTTCAAAGTTATGTCGTATTCCTAGCACCGAACGTATGTACACTCTGTACAAGGTATGTACACTCTGTACAAGGTATGTATACTCTGTACAAGGTATGTACACTCTGTACAAGGTATGTACACTTTGCACATCGTATGCTCACTCTGTACAACGTATGTACACTATGTACAGCGTATGTACACTCTGTACAAGTACTGAGAGTTTTGGCAGTACTAACCCCCTGACTTACACTGAGTTATGGGATTGGATTCTCCTCTGAGTGATCACCTGATTACCATGAGACAAGCGCAAGCAGGATTCTTTAGTCATGGAAAGGGCAGGAGAGAGAGGATTTGTGGACTGGTAGGCAGATTAGCAGGCAGACTAGCAGGCAGACTAGCAGGCAGACTAGCAGGCAGACTAGCAGGCAAACTAGCAAGCAGACAGGCAGATTGCGTTCAATCTTCTCAGATATCTGACAGGATACGGTGTGGCACATGGCCTGGTAGGCAAAGCTGTCACTTCACACGCTGAGGGTCCGTGGTTCGATTCCAGGCAAGGGAGAAAACATTGGGCGCGTTTCCTTACATCAGTAAAATAGGCATCCGGGTGTTAATCGACTGGTGTGGGTTGCATCCAGGGACAAAATTGACCTAATTTGCCCGAAATGCTCTAACAAGCGGCTTTCTATATAGTAGTTTGTCACTGATGTCAGCTATGGTCTGTATAAGTTGCATCATGTACTTGTAGAAATAGAGATTATTATTATTATTATTATTATTATTATTATTATTATTATTATTATTATTATTATTATTATTATTACACTCATAAATATGAGTACTTGGCTACTCCCTGTAGTCACTGTACTAAGTATTACTAAATAATAATAATGAGAAATATGGTGTGTACTCTTTAAATTCTTTAATTTGTACTCTCCGTGTATTATTTCTTAATAACGTTCTCAGAAAATAGAGGGATGAGACAGTCTCATATTTCTCACCCTCCAGATGTGAGAATGTGAGTATATGAGAAAAGTCTCATGTAAAAGTGTTAATAGGCTGTTTTAACAGTGTATTAACAGGGTTAATGCAATGTTATTTCTAGAAGAAACAGGGAAACGGGTAACCCAGACGACCCACCCTCCCTCTGTTAGATCAGAAGGCCGCAGCAGTTAGGTAGCCAGAGCATTTGTAGGATGCTAGGATGGTCGACTCATTCTACAGGGATATGACTGTCAGTGCTACCAGCTGGATGAGGTGACATGAAGGATACTCGTTCAGGAACACCTGCCAGGAACATCTGCTATATATATATATATATATTATATATATATATATATATATATATATATATATATATATATATATATATATATATATATATATTATATATATATATATGAGAATATAATATAAGCAGATATTACTGTGGAAAATCAAATTGGATGGTGGAGGTGGCCCACCCACCTGACTATGGGAGGCGAGGGACCACCCATTTGCTTGTGGGGTTGGCAGGTGCTGGGTGGTAGGCCGCCCACACACATACTCTCTCTCTCTCTCTC